TCAATGGTTGGAACTTGAATATTTGTTCGGCCATGATTGGATTCCCCAGCAAGTTCATCATCTGGTCTGATGAACATTTTAGGAATTTTCACAATCCCAGAATCAACAAGCCCCTTTACACCAGATTTTGTCTCCTCAAATTCCTTGAGCTCTCTCATACGGTCATTATTTTCTACAGATTCAGGTATGGACTCTTTGAGGGTCGACATATTCATTTTCTGTTCTTCACAAATCTGAGAGAGAGAGAGAGAGAGAGAGAGTTGAAACAATATTGATCAAACTCTTTAGGAGCGAGTTACATTGTTAAACTACCTTATTTAAAAGATTAAACCGTTAAAAATGGAACAAATTTATTTACCGAAGAGTATACAATGTTTTTTATAATCAGCAATTATATTTTCATAAAAATATCTATTTAATCAGAGACTACATTAATTTAAGTTAACCATTGTTTGAATTCTACTCAGGCTTGTAATATTATGCAGGGCAGGCTGGATCTAAAGAAGCATATTTTAATCTTTCAACGTTTCCAGGCTGATTTGTCACTTGAGAATTCCAAGAAACTGAATATATATTTAATTGTGGATTAGGCTGTTTCAACTTAATTATTAAGGAAAACCCAGTAGGAAGTCAATGTCCTAAAATTAAGAGTGGTCCAATTTTTTATTAATTGCTCAGCAATAGGAAATGTCATCACAGTTTGTAGTTTGCACAAAGTCTAGATAAACATTATCCCTTGTAACTACTTCTTCCTCAGTCGGCAAAATAGAGTCCATTACTACGTGTTTGGTAGAGAGGATTGGACAGAACGTATCTCATAAAATTAAAGAATAAAAAAAAGATATAATTTTATTTATTAAATTATTTAATACGGCAGAGTACTGCATATCAATCATACTCTTGCATGCCCAGTCGCCGTAGTTTTTTGCATGGCTGGTAAATGGAAGTTTTGATGTAATTCTATCACAGTTTTAACCTACTTTGAAAGCTAAATTTTGAGATATCAAGCATTAGAGAGAGAACAAGAGATAAGAAATAAGAATTCATCGCTTGGTTAATACTCTAAATAGTCATCGAACTTTGCCAAAAGTTCCCAAGAGGTCATCGAACTTCAAAAGTTCCCTAAATA